GATACATGAAAAGACGCTGAGAAGAAACAGAGGCGTGGAAGTTTTCAAATAAAACGTCAGGAAAGGCTCACTTGGGGAGGCCTGCTCGTTAGCCAGGTGCTTCACACCCCTGGGTCCCGGGTTCGAGTCTCCATCAGACAGGGCATTAAACATCCTTGGTGTGCTAATAAGCTGTGCCTCTCTCTCTCTTCACCGGTTGAGCACAGGGCGAGCTGCAAATGGCCGCTAACGTGGCCCCAGTGTGCGAGCCAAATGAAAACCTGCCAACGGCTTCTTGTGAGCATGTAGTGTTCCCTGGGGGGCCATGGGAAGGGACTTTTAATACGAAAACTGGGAGGTCTTCTTATCTATCGGGAAATAACAAAAAAAGAAAGGACTCTTCCCTTCTGGAAGCGGATTTGCAAACATTTACAATACTGAATGAACCATTCCGGTAATCCTGTCCACAATAAGAATAACATTTTTCCCTTATTGATAACGAATAAAACCTCTGCAGTCATTTGTTATGATCTTTATTAAATTTATTTTATTGTTTACAGTTCTCGGAACCCTGAGGCCGGTATATGTTGCTAGAGGAACAAAAAGATGCCAAGCATTTGGTTTTACTCGTAGCCTGAAATCCCTCTTTATTTCCATACTACTCTTCCCCATTATGTTCAGCCATCGAAGAGCTTGAATCAGGGCAGAGCACAGATACACGTTGGCTGTCAGAAACATCAGGGAGGGGAAGTGCTTATTATCAGTGCTATCAGCTAAAACCTCTGAGCTATGTACGCAAATTTTGAACCCTGAACAGATTTTAGTTCTAAAAACCAGTACACCTTTTTCAGTTTTGTACCAATTTTAGCTGTTAGTAAACTGAAGCTTAAAGCACCTTTCATGTTTGCAGCATAATAATTAAATGATTACTTGCAAACAGGGTCAATCTTCACCACCAAAGTTTGTGTAAGTTTTTAAATCATTTATGACAGATCTAATTTGCGTTTTGGGCTATTCTTGTTCTCGGATTGAATGATTGAGGAGTCTCTGTCAAATGAGTCCCAGTGGAGTAGGGATCCCAGTAAGTGTGAGGGACTGGACAGGCTTCAGGAAGCACACACACCTCAGGTCACTTTAGGGTTGTCATGCAAGGAATAACTCACAGGCTGGTTTTTGAAGTCCATGTTGTGCAACAATAGCCCAATTGTCCCAAACAAGGAATACCCTGCTGTCATTGATATATTCTGCATAAGGTGCTGATTTCAATAAATGATGTGTTTTTTTATTCAGTCTAGCACTTCAAATGCATGGTTGCCTTTGAAAAATGACCAACATTGTCTCAGTTTGTTTTGTTGGATGCAGTATTTTATTGAGAGAGCATTTGAAAGATAAGCATGTTTCAGTGCATGCATATGTGCAAAGGATACAATGAAAACAATAAACACAATTTGAAATTTCACACGATGCCGATGCCTTTCAAACGAGACCCAGAAATTCGAGAAGCTGAAGAGTGACTGATGGAGCCTGAGCGCAAATGGAAAATAGTTCCCAGTTCAGCAAGGAAGTTGGACATTACGCAACACCTTCCCTTGGAGGGGAAACTGAGGAGGAAACGGATCAAAATGAGTCCCGTTTGTTGGCAGACCATGGAAAAACATGAACTCCTCTTGGAAATGATCTTTTTCGCCAAAACTGAAAATGCAGCTTAATTACTGTGGTGCGGCAGGCAATTGCGCTTTCGCGCTAACAGTCGAAAATCACAAGAGATACAACAGGAAGGCTGTTCCCCCCCTCGTCAGTTCCCAGCCCCTCCCACCAGTTTGAAGTGGGCTTCTGTTAAACGCAGCCTTGTTCGCTGGCGCAAAACAATGCAGCTTGTCCCCAGGTAAAATTACAATGCGTGGCGTAGGGTGTCAGGCCAGGTATGCGTGGTTCAAAAGGTGTTTGCGCAAACCCAGGTTCCTCCTGGAAAGAGTTTTGTTCAAGACAGCCTTTGTGTTCATGGGGACTTTGTGTACTTAGCTTGACATTACGAATAACGTTACTCGGGTTAATGTCAAACAAAAAAAAAAAAGCACTGCATTTAGACGACCCACTCGTCTTCTGTTTGGGCATCTAGCTGAGGTTTATGTAACCGGTTTTCTTAGAGACACAGACTGGCCTCACCAAATGGGGCTGTGTTGCCCTACCAAAGATGACCCACTTGAATTTCTGCAGTAAAACCCTATTCTTCGCTGGTTCAGTATATTAATCTGTAAACTGTGCAGATATCTTTGGATAAAATGAGTTACACGAGGCCGTTCAGTTTCTTGAGGATCACTTTTGTTAGTTTGAGCTTGAAAATACTGCAGGTTTGCCCATGATATTACTTTCTCAAGCAGCCTAATGTTGCAGAAAGGGGATTACTTGCAGAAAGGCAGTAAGAGAAACGTGACGGCAGTATAAGTGGTATTGACAGCGTGATTGACGACGCTGCTCTTGGCCTCCATGATTCTCTTTATCGGAACAAGCTGTGGCCGACCGGGAGACGGATCGTGCCGTGAAAGAGAGAAGCACATCAATGACGGCGGCGGTTTGCCGCAGAGGAATAATGCGTGCGTGTGTGCGCTTTGATCTCAGAGCGGGGTGCTGCCACACATGATCAATCTGACGGTGCAGACGGTGCTAGTAATTCTTCCTCACATGAGTTGGACTGTCCACCTCGTCGGGGCTGGGAGAGTCTGTATTCTTCTAGAGCCCCTCCGATAGCCCACAACCCTGGAAAAGCCACACGCTTGGTAAAGGGGGAGGTAAAGCCACATGGCTAATAAAGAGGAACGGCAGCAGTGATGAAGCAGCGATGTCTTGTCAGCAGAAACCAGAAAGTTAAGCACGAGGAGCGCAGGCTTCCAGGGCAGTGCAGTGCCACAGTGGTCAGCAGCCATGTGGGGTCAAGTCCCATCCCTGGCTGTGTGTGGAGTTTGATCGTTCTTCCTGTGGTTGGATGAGTTTCCAACGGTCCAAAAACATGCAATGAGGCAAATTTGTAACTCTGAACTGCCCTTTATGTGTTTGGGTCCTGTGCAGGACTGGCATCCTGCCCAGTGTGTCCCCTGCCTCATGCTCTGTGATGGACTGGCATCCTGCCCAGTGTGTCCCCTGCCTCATGCTCTGTGATGGACTGGCATCCTGCCCAGTGTGTCCCCTGCCTTGTGCCCTGTGATAGACTGGCATCCTGCCC